TATGTTTGTGTAGCATACATTATATTGGTAAATTGTCATGTTGTTTAAGCTCACTGAGAAACTGGCTCTGGAGGGGGATTTGCCCTCCCCTTCAGACCCAAGCATTTGTATCTCAAAGTGCCCTCTAAGACTCCTCGTCCAGGCGTGGGCCCATCCCAGCCCCTGTCCTCCCACCCCAACTCTGACAGGGAGGAAAGAAAACAGTAAAATAGTCCAATGGTAAAAACACTGTAAAAGGTAATCGATTTCCAGCAGAGGTTTACTGTCATTCATGATATAAAAGTGCCTGCGGTGGGAGCAAGAAGCACGGAGCTCAGCCACAGACAGAATGCTGAATGGGAACTCCAGCTGACCACTCAACTTCCTCAGTTGATTTCTGCTGATGTTGTAAGCCAGGATTGGATGATGTCACCTTTGTTTGCTCTTTTGGTCAGGCGACCCCAGTCTCTGGATGTTGTAAGCTGATTTGATGCTGTTCGCTCTCTAGTTACCTCCTTTGTCCCTCTGCTGTTTGTTATTTATTCCTCTACTTTTGCTTGCTGTACCTTAATAAACTCACTTGTTAAAACCAAAAGTACTGCTCTTGTAGACCATTCTCTGGATTGCACACAACCATTGGATATACTGAATAAAACTTATTTTCACTGGAATTCAAAGTGTGTAGGTGGGAAACAGACAAGGCACTGAGACATCTTTGATGATATGAAGGATGGAGTTACATGATGTGATCTAATTTTTATGAGATAATTAGGGCATTGTTTTGTTGAGGCAAGTTCGTTTCCTAACTCTGAGACTTCTTGAAAGGGCACCAGTCAAGGCAGTGATAGCCTAGAGATGGATGAGAGGTGGGTCGGGCAGTGGATGGGCAGTGCTGGAGGCCCACAGATCACGGTGGTTAGGAGTAGATGAACTCTGGCCTTGACAGCAGGGTCACATTCACTGTCATAGAGACAAGAAAGTGTCAGGTGTGATGGTGGATAGGAAAGTGTCAGGTTGTTATGGGTAGTCCAACTGAGGGTGCCTAGAATTCAGTTATGCTTGAATCTCTAGAGAGAAGTTTATGTTAGAGATAGAAAGAAATTGTACTGTAATCCCAACCCTTGGGAGACTGGGGCAGGAGGATCAGAAGTCCCAAGCCAGCTGGGCTGTATAGTGTGACTCTGTCTCAAAAATGGAAATTTTAGCATAAAAATAGCCAGAGGAATAGGTGAAATTTTCCATCAAGCTGAGTCATCTGAGAAGAAAATGGTGTGTGGTGGGACCACAAGGGATAGTGCCCCATCCTTAGTCATCAGGAGTACTCCCCTTAGCGTCCGTGTCCTGTGAAGTTTGGCACATTTTGTACTTTTGTTCCATGACATTTCAATAAGGGGTAAAATATCACTCCTTTCAGCTCATTTGCCTGTTGTTGGGTTTGGGAGGAACCATTGCCACTGTGCAGAAGTCTTTCTGAAAGCAGGCCAAGTGGCTGTGCTTGGAGCTGCCTTATTCTGCTGTGATGTGAATGGCTAGTGGTGGTGCAGTTATAAGGCAGTCTCTTGCCTCAGACACGCAGAGGATTTCTTTATGACACCCCAGGATGTGCTGCGAGTCTGTCATGTGTTGTATTGGTTCTCAGGGAAGGCTGCTCTTTGAAGAAATTGTTTACTTGTGCTTGTGTAGGATCTGAAGTCTGCTAGAATGATTGTCAGTGGGAATTTTAAACCCGGAGCATGGAGATACTTAAGAGGAATCAGTAGTTGAGGGAAAACAGAAAATAAAGGATAGAATTTAATAACTGAAATAATAAGAAACATAGACTAAGTCATGATCATTGGAAGATTAGCTTATCATTTGAAATCAGTATTACCCAGCAGTCCTGTTAACAGGGGTATTGGTGTGAGGGGTGGCCCTCCGGGGGATCCACTGAGTGTGTTCCATGACACAAAGAAGTGGATGTCTAGAAAAGGCAAAGACCAAAATGTAAAGAAAGTGAACATTACAGGTAGAGATGCAGGTGTGGAACAGAGAAGCAACGGCCCCCTGAGAGGGTGAGAGGACAACTACAAACTCGGTTAGCACACACAAACAGCTTCCATCAGGATGGGAGGGCCCAGAGCTGGGAGTCCACGTGGGGCTTGGTCAGATTTTTTTTTTTAATTTTTTAGAAGAAGCATTTCATTACAGCTTTAACGTATTCAATAACAATTTCCAGAGCAAAGATACATTTCTTTCAAAAGTGGCTATAAAATTTTTAGGTTCATAGTTGAATTAATACAGCTATACAGTATTGAACTCAGTATAAACCCTGTAAGACATAAAATTGAAGGAGTTTTTAACCTTTAAAAAAGACCTCCATTTCATTTAAAAATATGCTGTTTCTTACAGAAAGACTCAAATTGTTTTTGCTTATAACAGGTGTTGGTGCATGCATGTGTATCTGATTATGTATCTGTTGGTGCATCTGTATGTATCTGATTATTACTAGTCATGGTCAGTTGCACTTGGATCCTTGGCACCTGTGTATGGATATAAAGTCATTGGGTAGATTTCAGTGGTAATGTTTATCACCTCTACTAAGTAACATGATGTAAATTTTTATGCTTCCTCCTCAAATATAACTCATTTTTTAAATTTGTTGATTTTTTTGTATGTGTATGTCACATAGAACATCCCAAACAATCTTATTCATCTATATACCCACTTCCCATATGGCACCCTCCCATAGCCTTCCTCCCCACTAAAGCCCTTATACTCTGTTATCCCTGCTGCTGTCCGTTGTGTTGTCGGCATCCCCAGCTGTTCCCCAGTACTTGACCATCCGATGAATCTAGTCAGCCTATCTAGAGGTCTTTGTTTTAGGAAGGTCAGCTGTTCCTCATCTAGCAGCAATCAGTTGTCAATATTCCTTTAGATAAGATTGGGGTCTGCTGTTCATTTTCCCAGTTCTATGCTGGGTTACTATCTGGAAGTCCCTCTGGCCATCCTGGCCAACAACTCAAAGGAAGGCATCTCCCATCTGGCATTGTTTCTTGTTATGTAGCTTTTAGCTATACACATGGATTCTTAAAAAATTATATTGACCCCTTTAATCTTTGGTTATACTTTCCTTTTGGGTGGTTAAGGCCATACAGTTGGCCCAGAGAAACCAATTTATTTTTACTCTTAAGGCTGTTTGAGGATCTGTTCCTCAGGGGTCATATGGGCTTGGGAGGAGCCCTGGTTCCTTTCTTTTACCAGTTCTGTGTATGTGAAGATAAGTCAAAGGTCCTGCTCGACCATGGCTGGCTTTGCTTGGAAGCATGGAGGAAATATTTTCTCTGTTGACCCTCCTCTTTGTAGACTGGACACTGGTTCAAGTCCATCTGGTGGGGTCTCCATAGCCTCTTGATCAAGAGGACAGGTGACTCACCACAGTTACAGGACATTCTGAAAGATGCTCATAGTCCTCTGGAACTGGTTGACCTAGGAAGGCAAGGAACAAAAACTGTCCTTTATGTCCCTCTGACCAAATTATTATAGGCCTCAAAGTATGTCTGTTAAACATCCAAGAAGGTTAGTTCCACCAGTCTGGTAATTTTAATTACTGTGTGTCATGTAGATAAATCTTGGGCAAAGACCAGTTGTTCTCAGATAAGCCTTATCTAGACATATATTTCTTCATCTGGTATGTATGATTTGTCAGTAGGTTGTTGGACTAATATGGTTCACTCTGGTTTTTAAAACTAGGCATTATTTATCTCTCACACTGTCTAACCCTTCCATCATGGTTTCTCCAATTAAGGTGCCCCCATTTCCCCCCTTTCTCTCTTAATAATACCCTTCTCCTATGGTCCTACCTCTCTTGAGCTCCTTCTATACAAGGAACTTTCCCTAGGTTCCTTGTATAACCCTCCCTCCCACCTCCCTTAAACTAACCCAATTTTTATCCATATCTCCCTTATTAACACCTGTTTTCTACTGTCCTTCTCTTTCAGATTCTTTCTTTTCCTTTACTTCCCTGGTTCATTTTCATTATCCTGGTTCCTGTAGTTATGTCTGGATACATACTCACTTATCAGGATTTGGTGCTAGGATCCACATATGAGAGAGAACATTCGTTGTTTTTGTTTTTTCTGAGTCTGCATTACTTCACTTAGTAGAACAGTTTCTAGTCCCATCCATTTGCCTTCAGATTTCTCTCCTTCTCCCTTTTCATGTGTTCTGGGGCTTGAACTCATGTTGTCAGGCTTCAGCAAGTATATTATTTGCTGAGCCATCTTGCTGGCTCCCATTTTAACATTGTTATGCCATTAGTCTTTAGAGTTGGAACTGTTTTTAGTAAGGCTATATGAGGATGTTTTGTTTTTCTTTAGTAATACAATCTGTATCTAAAGATAGTAAAGGCAAATTTCAAAATATACTACCTGCAAATTCAGCACACACACATACTAAATAACAGATAATGATCAATGAGAAAATGAGTCTTCCAGAACTTAGAGGGCTTGCTCAGAGAAAAGCTTAATGCCATGTTGTGTAGAGGTTCTTTGTCATGGGCAGGCTAAGCCAGACATAGGTGGACATGGTTGTTAGTGTCCATAGTGTCAGAATGTATTGAATAACAATAGCAGTCAGTCTCAGGTTGTCATCAGACTTGGCATTGGATGCCTTTACATACTGTACCGTTTCACTGGCCCCTGAGAAGATTTTAATATGCCTGAGTGCTCAGATGTTCTCATTCTACTTTGATGATGTGATATCTGTTTACTTTTAGGAATAAATGATCAGATCTGCCTGTACATTTGTACTCAAAATAGAGACAGATGCTACTGTATAATATAGAGTCAACCAGGGAACAGCACAACCTGATCTCCACACTGAGATAGAAGGAAGTAGAGAAGAGTAGATGACTTCATCATCTTAACTTGGAGTTAACAAAAGGCAGGAGGAAAGTTAGGGGATCATATCTCTTTGGGGAAAGGTAGCAAAGAAATTGCATAATAGGACTGTCATGTGACAGGACTCGCTGTCTCTCACTCTAGGGGTATGTGCAGACTGCACAATCAACATTTGGAGAAAAAGAAAGGACTGCAAAGGAGGGAGAGACCAGTATGGGCTGACTGATTGACATTCCATGTCCTGTGGCATCGAGAAATGGTAGGAGTAGAAAAAGCTGGCACCCTTTCCTTACCCATGATAAAGGCCATAGTCAAAAGACCCTGTAATAGAACATGAGATTTATTTAATCAAAGTTTTAATGGCATGAGAGCTTTCAGGATGGAGACCCGCAGACTTAAGAAACTTTATTATTTTTATGCACAGGCTCAGTGAAATAGTAATAGTTGTTTAGAACTGTGATTAAACAAAAGGTATGAGCTAATGTAATAGGCTGACTGGAGAAAACTCAGCAAGACTGGTCTAGTCAAATTCTCTGTATAGCAGACCTTGCCCCAAGTATGGGGCAGGACCCCTTCTGAAATGAGAGACTTAGAATCAGCTGTCATCTTCTAGTTTCATTCTGTTGCCAATACAAGCACCATGACTAAAAGCAACTTGAGGGTGAAAAGTTTTTATTTCCGTTTACAGGTTCCAGTCCATCATTGAGGGAAGTCAGGGCAGGAACTTGAGGTGGAACCCATGGAGGAATGCTGCTTGCCACCCCCTTGCAGGCTGATGCATAGCTAGCTTGCTTATGCAGCCAGGGCACCTGCCCAAGGTATGGTGCTACCCACAGTGGGCAGGCCCTCCTTCATTAATCATCAAAACAGTTCCCCACAGACACGGTCACACCCATCTGCTCTCTTGAAAAGCTCTCAGTGGAGACTCCTTTCTCAGGTGACTTCAGGCCATCTCATGACTAAGCAAAAAGCTGAGTAGGACCTCTCAGACAGTTTTACCACTTTCCACAGATCCCCCCCCCCATTTCCCATCGCATAATTCATGGATGCAGCAGCAGCTCTTAGCTCTTTTAAGTGACTGAGAAGGAGCAATTCCCCTAGACCCCACAATAACACACAAAAGACCAGACAGAATGTTCCTATAGAACATGCACCAATGAGGAGACATGGTAAAGCCCCTGAGCAAGGCAGAGGCTCAGGATGAACGCACAGTCTGCTGTAGAAGAAATTGTTTACCTTCAAGAAACAAGGCAAGTGCCGGGAATGTAGCTCAGTTGGTAGAGTGTTTGCCTAGCATGCACAGAGCTCTGGTTTGATTTCTGATCCCCAGTGCCAGGTAAACCAGATGCGGTGGAGCATATGCCTGTAATCTCAGCACGCAGGAGGTAGAAACAGGAGGGTCAGAAATTCAAGGGCTTCCTCTGGTACACATGTTGTTGAAGGCCAGGGATTCATGAGAGCCAGTTGATTAGAAAACAGTAGCAGCAACACAAAACAGGACAGGAATTCCTGTGTACTGTGGGACAGACTAGTAAGAGCTTGATTTTGGGGACTGGAAAGATGGTTCAAGCAGTTAAGAGTACTTCCTGCCCCCTTTAGGTGGCTCACAGCTTCCAGCTCCAGGGCACCTAGTGCCTCTTCTGGACTCTGTGGGTACCCACATGCCCGTGAGGAAACCCATGCACAGACACACTGTTAGGAATAGGAGTGGAAAGAGGCACAGGCAGAAAAAGGAAGAAACCAACCTCCCCAATCCAAAGTCAATAAAAAGGGGTGGGAGCTGACCAGTAGGAACTGGCCAGCACACACCAGCCACGAGGATTCAGGACGCCGAAGAGTTACGCAGGTTGGTGTTTGTGAAGGGCCTGGGGCCTGATGAGGGCAGAAGGACCTGTCTGCAGAGCAGGAATCCTTTATGGCTGGAGTGGTATGTTCTGGGGACATAGTTCTGTTTGTTTCTGCTTTGTTTTTTATGTGTGTGAGTGTTTTGCCTGCATGTATGTAAATGCACCATGTGCGCAATGTCCACAGAGGCCAGAAGAGGTGTTGGATCTGAACCTGAAGAGGTGTTGTCCATAACTGAAGTTATGGACAGCTGTTAGCCACCATGTCAGTGCTGTCCTCTAGAATAGCCAGTGCTCCTAACCCCTGAGCCATCGCTTCAGCCCCTCCTCCTATAGTTTAGAAGCAGGGGCTAATGATGCTCTGATAAGGCCCATCAGCAGTATAATATCTTGAGCCCCTCCATTTTGTGTAAGTTTAACTGGTCAATCATCTGGTCATAGGACTACCCCTAGGAAGGTGGTTTATGCTAAATAGATGGGCGGAATACCTAGTGTGTTAATGAGATAGCAAGTTTTTCCTGCCTGGAATCCTGCCTACGAGGGCAGAACATCTGGACCAGCCTTAGCCAAGTATGTAGTTCACATAATCTTTTCTTCTCTTCTCTGTGTCCCTTTTGTAAACACACTTTCTTTAAGGCTTTGGGCTGCCCCTAGCATCTTGTATTTCTGTACTTTCTCTAAAGCTTCCTTCTCCGAGCCATGTGGCTGCCACGTGTTTGACCTCCACACAGGCTGTAAACGTGCACGGTTTCATGGCTTTCTTTCCTTCTCCTTTCCGTTCTCCTCCTCAAGGCAGCTGCCAAGATGACCAGCTCTCCTGCCCTGAAGATTTCTCTTTAAATTCTAATAAAATTGTAAAAGCTTAATTCTATTGATTCAGAACTTCTTGAGGCTGAGTGGTCTCCTCGGCTGCCCGGAACTCCATAAGAAGCAGTAGTGGTAGTTTATGACCAGCTCAGGGTGTTTTTGTGCAGTCTCCCTTTATACACATGTGCATATAATTAAAATTAAAAATCTTAGCCGGGAGTGGTGGTGCACCCCTTTCATTCCAGCACTCAGGAGGCTGCGGCAGGTGGATTTCTGTGAGTTCAAGGCCAGCCTGGTTTACAAAGTGAGTTCCCGGCCAGCTGGGGCTACAGGGAGACCCTGTCTCAAAAAGACACACACACAAAAAAATCTTTCAGAACTTGAATTTGATAAAGCACAACTCAGAAATGTTATAATAAAGTTAAAATGAAATGAGAAATGCAGGGCCAAGGAGACACAAAGAGAACTAACTTGCAGAACCAGCAAATAAGCCAGAAGCAGCTAGGAATAAAATATTCATAGACCCTTAAAACTAATCTTATAGAGAGACCCAACACAGTGTTTGGGAGTGAGTGCAAAAGAAAAAAGAACAAAGAGTGAAGCCCTTTGGTGAGAGTGGAGGGTGTAGGAAACAGATGAGGAACATTTATGGGTGCCTGGGGTGCCTGGATGGGAGAGGCTTGGAAGGGAGAGGGAATGGGCCATCCAGTCTTCTGGATCAAGCTTCTCTTGGTATTGTGTTTTTAGTAGCAAAGAAATGACTCTCAGTACGCATTTGAAAATGTGTAGGTATTGACAAATTGGAGGAAATAAATGTTCATCTGCTTCATAGAAGAATTCCAATGAGATGAAGACCAGGAAAATCCCCCTTTGAAGCACTTTGTTTCCTGGCATTGATATACAGAGCTCCCCTCCCCCAGCCCGAAGTGTTTTTCTTAGGCTGATTTTTTTTTTTTTTTTTTTTTTTTTTTTTTTTTTTTTTGGCTGGGCTAAGTGTAAATACCGATCTGCTGATCACAGACAAATACTGTGCTGATTTTTCTACAGCTCAGACCCTAAGTAGGACAGGGTTATAGAGGGGGAAAAATCCTTGCCATTCTTTCAGATATCTGTGGTTAATTATTTACTTTTTCTACGCTTTTTTTTTTTTTTTTTTTTTTGAAGTCTTTCAAGTAACTCTGGGTGATAGGTTAACATAGGAGAATCCACAGGTCCAGTACCATTTACTGTCGTTGACTAGAAATTGAACTTCCATTACTTGCAAGCCAATAAGTCTAGCTTAGAATCTTTACATCGCTTGTTTCTGCGGAAGAGGACCTCAGAGCATAAGTGACAATGGTTGCTGGAATGGACTTGTCATGAATTATTCATTAACGACTTCATTCCTTGGAAATCAGCTGGAGGGAGTAGTTGGGGCAGTTTGAACACAGGAATGTTGCTCCCAGGGCTGGGCTAACCCTCACAAGTCCAGCAGCAGACAGGGTACTTTGGTGGATTCTGTAGGGCTGGGCAGCTGGACCGCCACTGTTCAGGCAAAGCCTGCTGCGCTCCGTGAAGCCAGGGCACCATGCCACAGGGGAGAGCTGCGCCAGAACAAGCCCAAGCATTCCTGTTGGAAAATGAAGCTTCAGGTAGGAGAAGTGCCCTGTCAGCACCACTCTGGCTGGCACCGGTTTTAGGGATGCCAGACAGTAGCTTAGCAGTTCAGATTAGCATAGATGTACATTGTTTCTAATAAAATTGTTCCTTGAAATTGTTGGAAGTACTCCTGTGCTGATAAACATTTAAATGTAAAGTCACGACATTTTTAATAACCATCTTTCAGTGTACAAACATCTTTTTATTGGTTAATATGGTCCGGTTTGATTTTGAATTATGGAGTTAGAGCTTTGAAAAATCTCGAGAAAGATACTTTCATTCAGGATTTGAAGGAATGTAGCCATAGGCTCAGCTGGAGGAAGTATTGTTTGCAGAAGATGCCTCGATTCTTTCTGCTGGAGCATTTGGAAAAATACATGGACGATGGAACAAAGGGTCTTTGTTCTGTTTGTTGCTATTATTTACTTAATGTGTATGCATGCTGCTGGGTGTGTGTTTGTGTGTGGGTCTGGGTCTGGGTCTGTGTGTGTATGTGTCTGTGTCTGTGTCACATGTGCACAGACTAGACATGTAATTTCCTCTGACAGGGCTTATGTTGCCCTTTGCTTTGTCTTGTCTGACTTAGGGATGTCGCCTTTGTCAACTTCACTGAGACTGTGAGATGCGCTTGAGCTGTGGGGACACAAAATTACACAAAAGTAATCTGGACCAAATTCAACACACTTTTTTTCCTTTCTTTTTTTTCCCCTTTTCCTTTTTCCCCCTAGACAGAGTCTTGCTATGTAGTCCAGTCTAATTGAACTGATAATCCTCCTGACTCAGCTTCCCAAGTGTTGAGATTATAGGCATGTGCCATTATGCTCAGTTTCCCTACTCTGTTTCAGTAAGCTCTACAGTTGTAGGGATCTTTGTTTTGTTCATCAAACTCATGTTTTTTTTAAAAGATGGTCTTCCTGTAGACCAGGCTGGCTGGGATGTCACCTGCCTCTGCCTCCACCTCCTGAGTGAG